CTCCACTTGCAAGGCAGCTACATCCATGATGTTGTATTCAGATGCAAAAGATAACAAAAGAAATAAGGAATTCTCAAAAAATATTTCCTTATCATTAATGGTCTGCATCTGTGCCATCCTATGCTGTAGTTTTGTCATGTCTTGTAAGTTAAGCACAGCCCAAAAAAATACTTTTGAGGTCAATAGGCACCTAAAGGTTCCAAAAAATAAATTCTCAGTAGCTGACATTTCTTTGGTACCTTTTACTGCACTAACTCTTTTAAAGTGTCTCCAAAGCATTTCATCCTTGTATCTTGCATGCCAACTCTCTCTAAAACAGCATGAGGATGTTACTTTTTACTGTCCTAAATGGTTGTGTGATTTCACTCGTTTCTTTGCAGAGTTGCATTTTGGTGTGCTGAGACACAAATCCTGTGTGTCTCAATATCAGTGCAGGTTTTTGGAACAATGAGATATTTAAAAATGAGCTTGTGTGACACCTTCATATAAAAACACGATGTTTATCTGTCTTAGTACTAGAGAAGGGAATTGGAATCAATTAGTTAAAATAGGTAGAATCCTGATTAAGTTAATCCAATAACTCTGAAGTAATGAGAATCTCTATGAAAATTTTTCTTTTTGAGATACATTCCAGAGATTAAATTGGTTAAAAGGAGTAAAGTATCTGTGCCTTTCTGTTTTGCTTCTTCTGATTATTAAAATGGAATTGAAGTGTCTACAAGTCTTTGAACTATTTTCTGTCTGGTCAACCCCATCAAACTATACCATTTTATACTTTTATTCAATCTTTGTTAGGTATTTTATTCCCTTTAATTTGTACTTAAGTTGTCCGGTGTTTCTCCTAGTTGCAGTCAAGCATGCTCAGTGGCTATCTCTGCAAACAGTTTGCTTGTTCCAGGGTCATGCTGTACTCGCGTTAGAACTATGTTAAAAATTACTTCCACGTCTCCCAAGGAAGAGCTCTTCCTCCTTCCTAAAGCTGTTATTTGGCTTTGGCTGTCTAGGAGACTGCCCCTCTGAAGGTCCTGAGCTGTGCCCTTTATCATCCTCCTTGGAAGGTGGTGTTTTGCTGGCCATCAACCCAGGGAAAGTAGTCAGCAAAATGCAAGATAAACTGTCAGAGTGCCCCAGGTAGTGTTCTGTAAGGGCCACATCGTGTTATTTTAGGTTAGCTAAACTTACTTTTCTTCAGCTCCTGGGCTGACTGTGGCATTAACATTAACAGTGCATTAACATTTTCCACCTACACGCTGCAATGAAAAGCAAATACAATAAAAAAACAATATTGGTATTTTTAATTCATCAGATACTATACACCGTATTAACTCTAATTGTGTTCAGACCTTGTGTATCACTGAATCTTCTTTGTAAATCTAAAAGCCGTAAACCTTTTGTAAAATTTATTAAAAACTCAACAAAATAATAAAAAAAAAGGCATTAGCTCCTTCAGAATGTATGTGTGCAGCAAGCAAGCTGTAATAATTGACTTGGTTCTGAAAAATGGAAATACTAAATGGGAGTTTGTAAATGATTTATAATTGAAATATAATTAATCATCCAAACCAGACTGTAACACTGCTGTGTTAGGTCATATTGCTTAATTGATGTTCTCCACAGCTGTAACTTTCTTTTCATTTCATTTACAATTCATACCCTTGCTGTCATTTGGCCATTTCTCTTCCCTGCATGACTGCCTTTTTGTTTATCTTCTTGCATTATGTTTTTATTTATAGAGTACAAGTTATTGTACACTTCATATCTGTTTGCTAAATTCCATTTATACATGCTAAATGCTCATATTTAAGCTGTTTTTCATACATTTTCATACATACAGAAAATATTCAGTACTTCAGTCCCAGATTTATTCATATTTTGACAGTAATTGATAGAAAACTGTTTCTTGAATCCAATAGACCGAAACAAACCAAAGAATTAAAAATAAATAAATAAATAAAACCACAGCTGGGAGAAAGCTTCCAAGCTTCCACATGCCAGAGCATTGAGAGTCCATCGGCTCTTCAAGGACGTAGGATTTGTGCTAGTATTATTTACCCTTTGAGTACAAAAGAATGTAGTCTGGTGCATTGCTAGTAAGCTGCTTATTGATTCACTTACAAAATAGTAGTTTCTGTGTAAGGGTGCAGTGATTATGGGGCTTTGTGCTGTTTTGAGGGGTAGAATGTACAACAGTTTTCGAAGAGCGAGAAACAGATGGTAGGTTTCAGGAAATCTTGCTGCATTCATAAGAATGTTGGTGACTAGAATAAGAAGCAGAAATTTAGCAGATAAGTTTTTAGATCTGATTGGTCATTGATCGAACTTGCTTCCTAACAAACCACAATTAAAATATTTTCACTTGAGGTAACCACTCCCATCTGAAGTACATCAGCTTTCAAAAAACTTAAGATTTGTGTGAACCTGTATAAAAGCCCTGGGTTCTGCTCCTTAGTTCATTTGTTAAGATCATTAAATTTCTTTCCTAAAAAGCAAAATATAAATAAGAATGGTATTTGTGATACAGAAGTAGATAAATACAAGTTGACCACTAACCAGCTCATTAACTGGTTTATAAACACAGTTCTGGTATCCCTGAGAAATCAACCTGACTTCTAAAATGAGAATGGGTATGCTTAAATTCATTTGGTTTTTGCATGTAGAAAGCATGAATCTGTGCAGCTCAAGCAGAGGACGGTTTTCAGGTAGTTATCATATAATGGATAAGATCTGAAAAGAGCTTCAAAGTAGATTTATTCCTGGAAAGCATTTGGGTTGAAATACCAATACTTTCAGCATGTTAGATATTACCTCATGTTGTTTTTACTGTAAATAATGCTGCTAAAAAGATACTGTGTACGTGAGGTAACTATAAGTGGAGTATATAGAAAAAAATTACCAAGTGTAGTATTGCATTAAAACTACCAAAACTAGGGATTTGCTCTTGAGACCATTGCAGGCACTTACCCTACTCTGCTTGCATGTTGGCTTACCAGGTAGGGAGATCTGAAGCAATCTTTTTGCAGCAAACTTGAGCCATGTTTAGAGCTTGACCAGGCTTATGGTTATTCATATCACCAGAATAGCCTATCTAGATTCGATGTATCTGTGTTCAGTATACTTAGTATTTTTTTATTATTATTTTGAAGAAATGCATAATGCATTATGTCCTACAGTAATGAGAAATGAGGAAATGATGTGTTTTTGTGCTTCTTAAATGGTCAAATGAACTAAGTTCTTTTTAAATTAAGTCTTCCTCTCCATCCCTCCCCAAACCCTTGGGACCTAGTCTATCACTGATCAATTGACTGTTGTTTTTATTTTTTTCTACAGACCAGAATAAAAGTACTGTTTTCAGTTAATGATTTGCTAGAATAGATTATGCTCAAGATTTCTGATGTTTTTAAAACAGAAGTGTATTATTTAAATAAAATAGTTATTGCAAAGTCCTTTAAACGCCATTAACTTGCTATAGCAATTTTTGTTTTGTTTTAGACAAAATACTTGTTTGCTCTTACATGAACAGTTAGCAGACATTTAAACACAGCTGCCGTAATCCAGATGGAAACTGTTAAACTTTGGCAATTTTACTTAGAACATGACAATCAGGCAGAACTATGATTGTAAATTAAAAGGGACCAGCTTGAAAAGGAAAGAAGGACACGTGTTTTAGCATTTTGGAAGCCTTCATACTGCAGTCATTAATTCAAAATTACTTCTAGGATATTATTTCTGCTAACTTTTGCTTAATGTCTGAATTAAGAAATGCTAGGAAGATCATCTTAATGCTTTCAGATCTAAGAAGTGGGAAGCCCTTTTTTGTGATGTGCCAACCTCACTAATGATGATGTGGTACTGTATCTTACTGAGTAAACCAAATAGAGGGAGCGGTGTTTTAAGAGAACTTCTTCTTTGGATTTTAGTGAGATCTCTAATTGTAGCTCACCTTGGGAACCTGAGTAAAGAAATAATGCACAGTGCGCATTCTATAACTGCGCTACCCTTCCTTTTATTTTCTTCAGTGATTGGTTGCATTGTTAGTATTTGTTCCATTTACAGCTTGATGGCATATCAGTTTTCTGTTTGGTGAGATTGGTTTCAATTTCAGTTATTTGTTTGTCGCATTAGTTTTCTGGTTACTTTATAGATGTATGCAAGAGAGTTATGGGAGTTAATAAGCTTCAAAAATATCATCAAGTTGAAAACAGGAGAGAAGAGGCATTTCATGCAGGCATAAAAAGAATTGCGATAATGAAGACTTTATTAGCTACTATTTCTTTTCTAACTCCTTGTTCGTATTTTAACTGCAGTAAATACTTATGTGAACCCCATATTCTATTTTCTCCCCTCCCATCCCTACTCCAGTCCTTTCTAGCTCATTGTGTAGTTTATTTTTTTCTGTTTCCTGGAGTTTCACTGAATCTGTGCTATTATTAACACTTTAGTTGAGTAATTTTCCTCTCAATATTGCCATTATCTGTACTATATATTTCATGTTACTGTAACATTTAACGTGTTCTGGAAGCTTAATTAGGCAGTGGGACACAAAACATACATATGTGTGTGTATGCACATGCATGCACACTATATATAGAAGGAGAGTGAGTCCCTCACTGTCTGTATGCATACAATGAAGCAATTAAGCAAAAGTATGGTAAGTGTGGACTAATGATCTACATACTCATTTTGCTTTGAGAAGAAATACAAAAGAAATATGTAGTTTGTGGCAAACTGGAAAATATCCATCTAAACTTTTTTTTTAGCTGGGAACCAGAATCAGCTTGCAGCTTATACAGTACTGGAGTCCTTGGTATCAGTAGACACATTTGTTAAAGATAGTCTTAAAAGTGTGATCTCTGAAAAAGACCAGGTTTATTGGTTTTATTTTTTAGAGGCAGATGTATATCAGTGCACTCTTATTGAAGTAACTTATGTCTTCTGAGGAAATGGAGGAATAAATTTGTTCTGTATTAAGTAAAATGCAAAATACAATCATGCAAAGCAACATGGAGGCCAACAATGTCAAAATCATTCCAGTTAGCAGATGAAAGATAGAAATTGGTGCATGGAATTGGAATGAATCAGTGGAATTCTGTTTCTAAATAAGGCCTGGTTATCTGTCAATATTTGCTTTATGCTGGATTGAGGTAAGCAGGGCAGAAACGAGTCCTCTTGCCTTTTTGCAAGACGTTGCTCTAGGTCATTCTTATGTTATAGGAAATGGACGACAATTTCTTGATCAAAGAGAGGTATCAGGCATTTAATTCATATAGCCATATAGTCATATGTACCATCACAAGAGTGATACTGAGCAATTTTTCCTTTTCTGTGTGCCTGTAGATAATTTGCTTGGACTGTTTTTCTCAGAAATGGGCAATATTGTGCATGTTTAAAGAGACTGCTTTTGATGTTTCTTCTGAAAAAATAGTGTTTTCCTTTTAATTTGTTTATCAAGTATTCACAATTGTCAGTTACTGAGTAACTGAATACCAAACCTTGTTTGCAAAAACTCATTCTTAGACATACACTTATAAGAAGGGCAGAATCTAGATGGCATTCAGAAAATTTAAATGGAATTACATTGTTTAAGTTGACATCCTGGGTTAAAATCTGAGGCCAAATCAGAGTAATCAACCATAACATTTTTGAAACATTGTTAGTGTTCATTCCTCTCTCAGGATGAGAACCTCTCTGGAGGATCTGTCTTAGATGCCTTTGAAGACCACTTTGAAGACCAGCTCCCTTGTACTGGGAAACAGACAGTGGGTACTGTCAAGGCATGAAAAGTCTTCATCATCAGAAATCTTAAAAGGACGAGCCAAGTCTTTTGGGATAGCATCAGATATGCTGCTGTTATGCTAATATCCATTTCTGACAAAAGATATACCTTTTTGGGGTATGTCTCTGGGAAAGCTAGCACCCTCTGCTCATTCAAATTGCACATTAAATTTGGGCTTGCTCTATGGTGACTGTAACAAAACAGTAAAGGTTACTTCTTCTGCAGGCTTCCCAGGCCCATAAAGTTAGTCTTACCCGTGTTACACTATTTAGACCATATATTTTAAGGTATGTTGACAGAGGCTGCAGTGTAATGGAAATATTTGTGCTAGTTTTACCTGCCTGATCAGGTCTCTGGAAGTCTGACAAACTCCTGAGCTAGAGAAATTAGCAGAGCTCTCTAGTTGCTGTGATTGGACTGCTCAGTAGGTAGATGAATTTGCTTGGCTATCTCTAGCTTATACTGCAGCATGAACCTAACCTTAATCTTTTTGTGCTGTGCAAAATGCCTTGTTAATGGTATATAAATAATATTTAATGAAATATATCAGAGAAAAAAATGTTATTCAAGTGAATTATACTTGTCAAACTGTTTCTACGTCATCGGGCATTAGCTGTAGATGCTATAGGGACCCATAGCTTGTAAAAGCAGTGATTATTTTGTTACAGAAACTATGGCATAGCGGGAACTATGGAAAGTTAATGGAGTTAATATAAAGTAGATACTAAGATGGCACAGCTATGTCCACAGCACTTCCAAATGAGATTTTTTTTTCTTTTTTTTTTGAGAGTGAGGAGAGGTTTATAGTGCATGTGAGTGGATTTTTGTTTGTTTTCCCCTTTAATAGTATATGTTCCCAGATATGGAGGCATTCATCCATAGATATAGGACCTTCACATTAATTTGCGTAGGATTTGAACAGAGATCTGAAAAGGCACATCTTCCCTTGGAGAAAGAATAATTAGTGCTTGCAGACAATTCCGTTAGGCCAAATATGTTGATAAGGTGTAAACATAAAGAGCAAAATCAAAGCATATGTGGTTTGACTGCAGGTGTCAAATACTTCCATCTTCTTTTGACTTGCTCATTCAGCACTTGACGAAGTTTAATATTGCTTGATCCTGCACCAGTGTAAGACTGGAAATCGTTGATGCTGCTTCTCTTGAGGTTAATGGAGATTAGAATCATAGAAAAAACAGCCTGTGGCCTTTCTTGCTATTCTTAGAAGCTGAAATTAGTTTTCAATATGATTTTATAAAGCATAAAAGCTTTTATCTGACTTCAAATCTATGAATTATTAGACAAAATATAACTACATAAATGCAAGTGATAGATGTCAAGTGCAAATGTTAAACTTTTTTATTTTACTTGAGACTCTAATATTGATTTTTTTTTAATTTATATTTTAACTGCCATGAGCTATTGAAAGTACTTAGTTTGTCACTTGTCACAAAAATTACATTTAGAGAGTTCTGAGCTTTAAAAAAATAAAATTTGAAATTTTCAGGAGATCTGTTTATTTTAAAAGATAGATTTCCAGAAGATTATTATTGTGGAAACACTGAAAATACACTGAAGTCTGATGTCATTACCATATATGCTATGTTAGTATAACCCATGAGATTGCTACTTCTTGTTCTTAGATTGATATTGATTCCTGTTTTATTTATAAAGAGGAATTGATAATTGCAGTTCTGCAAAATTAGTACACGGGTATGTGTAATACACCAGTAAAGTGCTTTGAAGAACAATTTCAGACACAACCCCATGGAAATCTAGAATATAATCCATTTGCTCCCCCCTCACATTTCATTTAGCATTTCCCTTGTTCGCCTCAGCTACCCCTTTCCTCCTTCTAGCAGACTCCATAATTTTTGTTAAACAATTTTGTTTTCAGGACTCACTTAAGTCATCACATTGACTTGCAGACAGCCAGTGACAGAAAGGTTTAGGGAAAATATGTACAGTAGGAGAGTATGTAAAAGTGAGTATGTGTAAATACAGTATCATTTTCCAAAAGATCCACACAGTACTTAAATTTCTTGGCCATTTTTCAGAGCTGTAACTCCTGCAAAGCTGCAAATCTTGGCTAGTCTCGTGTTTGTGTAAGTTATGTTGGATCTGAGCATTCTATAAATATGCTAAATCCCTTCTGAAATAATCTGTGTTTTGGTTTATGAATTATTGGCTATTATTCTTTGGATGGGCTGTATCTCCACTTTCTTATGCTTCTAAGATCTGGTCAATCTGGTGAATGAAAAAGAGGTTAATTTCAAAGTTAAAACTGTAAGTTGTGGTTCTTAAGTTGCCATCTATAATTGCTTTGCCTATATGCATTTGTAAATGAGACTTGAGCTGCAACAGCAACCCCTTTGATTGATTTGAAAATACGGAAATAAATTAACCAATATAAAACAAAACAGTATCTCTAGCATGAAAAAAACACTCCTATGAACTGTAAACGTTCTAATTAAATCTAAACAGTGCTCTCTTGTGATCTTGAGTAGAAAAATCTGTGTAAATTATTTGTTAGCACAGGTATACGAGAAGAAATCGAAGGGACAAGGCAAATCAGACGGCTGAAGTTAGTGTCACATCCAGGTCACAAATGCAAAGAGACTTAAAAGGCACCATTATGTGATGATTCTTTGCTTTGGAAAATAATATTCTGAATTTGGCTTTCAGATCTCATTTGCATGTGGACTATGGGGATAATCTTTTTGTAGGTGTTTTCTGTAGAAGCTTGCAGCAGAAAACACAGCAGTTTTCTAGCTAAAAGTATTTTTGTTACAAACATTTTATCTAGAAATGCATAAAAATATAGTATCAATCACATTGAATGGTAACAAGTGAAAAAAATATTGCCTATTTTGCTTAGTCAGTTTCCTTAGTCTGGTTTTCTACCTGCTGAGGACAGGTAGAATTATGGAAGTGTGCTAAGCTCATAGTGAAATGGAGTGACTTTCCAAGAATGAAGTTACTTTTCCGAGTTATATGGGCTCAAACCTAATTAGACTTTCAGCTTTTTTGGAAATATTATATATGCAAAGAAAGTAGTTCTCATTTTTGTTTGTTTATGTTTCGTTTTGCATTTTTTCTTCCAGAAAGAAAAAAAAAAAAAAAAAGGGGGAAAAGAAGAAATTTGAGATCAGTTTATCCACATTATTGTTGAAAGTAAATTATTTAAAGCAAATGTATTAAGTATAATCAGTATATTGGAATTGTATACTTGTATACCTAAAAAACAAATATAAATAATTGATTTTTCAACACTGACAAATGCATCTAATCTTATAGACAGTAGTATCCTACACTGTAAAGTATTTTCTATGTCTAGTGACTTGTCTCTGAAACACAGAAGCAATTTTAGATTTAGAAAAATAAGCCAAAAAATTGGCTAAACTGATGCTTTGTTTAAAAATATTACATATATAAAGCTCATTTCTAAAGATGGTACTTAAAGATGAATAACAAATTCATTATTAAGTATTTAACAAAGCAAATTAATAACCCCGTTAGTTCATCTGTTAAACAGACTGCTCTCTGTTAAGAGTAAACTTTGTAAGTGAAGGCTTTAGTAGTAAATATTTTAAATGATTTTTAAAAATCTGAAATATAAACCATTTCTTCTGCTCAATAGCATGATATTTCTGCACATCTGTTCTGCTTGGTGTTGCTTGACATGGGGTCTAAATCCAGATACTTAGCCCTGGCTTTGCTTTTCATATATTGTATGTTCTTTGCCAGACCTCTAATCATTTTCATCCAACTTTAAACACAGAAAATAATTAACTTGCATGAAGAGAGATGTGGAATTTCTAGAGGGTCCAGTGTAGAACAACAAAGATGCTTAAGGGACTGAAGCAGCTATCGTCTGAGGAAGACTAAGCAAGCTGCCCCTATTTAGCCTGGAGAGGAGAAGACCAAGAGGGGACTTGATCAATACGTATAAATACCTGAGGGGAGAATGTGGAAGGGAATGGGGTCCAAACTCTTCTCCGTAGTGGCAGAATGACAGGACAAGGGGTAATAGGCACAAATGACAACACAGGAAGTTCCATCTCCATGTGAGGAAGAACTTCTTGACTGTGAGGGTGACAGAGCCCTGGCACAGGCTGCCCAGAGAGGTTGTGGAGGCTCCTTCTCTGGAGAGCGGCAAAGCCTGCCTGGATGCCACCCTGTGTCATGTGCTCTAGGTGACCCTGCGTGTGCAGGGGGGTTGGACTAGGTGACCCCTAGAGGCCCCTTCCAAGTTCAACCTTTCTGTGATTCTGAGTAATGTGAGAAAAGGCTGACATGCACAATGTAGTTGTCACTGATTTGAGGTGATATGGTCTGACCTCCGGGCAAAGTAACCAGTAAAATTTTAATGACAGATTTTTCATCGTAAAACAGTTTCAAGATTTTTGACTCTAAAACAATTTCAAGTTGCTGCCAAACAAGGGCATGGAGGATATCTGAGGGAAGAAAAAAAACAACTGATGGAAAAATGATTGACCTCTCTTCAGAGGAACATCCTCAGAGGGAGGAATAAGTTGGGTTGAAATATATTTGTTCTTAGTAATTGATATCAACTATAGATCATGCAAATTTTAACAAGAGCTCCTAAAACAAGTAGCATTTCAAATGATGGTATCTGGGTCATTATTTTCTTGATATTTTACTCTTTTTCTATCCTGTAAACATCATTTATACTTTTGTTATTACAATTATTTCAAAACAGTAGCACAGTTAGCAAAAGAATTTTATATATATATAACATGCATAGATATTTATTTATACTTAACTGCTGTTATTGTTATAGGGCAGATGATTCCGGAGAGAAGATTTGTAGAAGCAGTGAATCGGCAACATTTTCTGTATGAGATGGGTGACTTTCCAGCAGAATGGGAAGGTAAATCTTGAAGACTTCTGTTTTTTTTTTCAAGATAATGTTGCTATTAAAAATATTGAATCCGAATTCAGTGCATTCCTGACAATATGAAAAGGTAATGGAGACTTTAACAGCCTAATTATTATGAAATTTAGTAAATGAGTAGTTAATAAAAATGTAAATAAAGCCTGCATCACCATGACTTTCTCCTATTAAACCTGATAATATTTGTGCCTGAGGGAGATTTGATAGAATAACCAAAACTAAATGTGTTAAACTTCCTAATTATGCCTTCACTGCTGTGTTAATTTGTAGGCCAGTGACTGTGGTGGCTGTGGCTATATGTGTGCATGCATGTGCATGCACTTTTTTTTTTTTTTTTTTCCCCTGCTTCTTTGGTGGTTGTCGGTTTCCTGTGCTCTTCACTGCACCCTGCTGTAGGGACAACTGTCTACAGCCTGTTAATAATTCATCTGTTTGGTTTATTTTCATACCACTACTGATGGAAATTTTGCCTCAAAAAATGGGACGTAGTGAGAAATTCATGAAAGCTAGTGAAATTCCTGAAGAGGATAAACTGCACTGAGCAACCCAAGAAAATAGAGAGAAAGCAGAGAGGAAGAAGTATGAAGTTCCTGAGGTTCTAGGATCTTGAGTGAGCATGGGGCTAGGTGTGGTTTAAAATCCTGCACTCTGTAGGATAAGCAAGGAACCGCTGGACCCACAGGTGTAGTTACCTCAGCATTCACTGCGTGTTTTGGGAAGAATAATATCTAAATGTCTTCAAGGAAGTGCTGGGCTTAAAACAAGCAAAAGGAGATCTTTCCTAAACAATATATAGTTAAATATGATTCCTTAGCATTGATTGTTCTGCATTCTAAAAGTTGTCTTGAGTTCACAAGATGGTTAAACAAATTCTTGGAAGAAAAATCCATCTTGCATACAGACATCACTTTTGGTTTAATTTATCCATGAAATGCAAATTGGTGGAGACTACTGTGCACTTTGACAAAATTTGACAATATTCTTTGGGCTCAGTATGCCCCTTTCTGTAGTCTGGAGAGAAATGTCAGATATTCCCATCTTGTCTTTTGTTGATGTACTCTCCACTCATTTCTACACATTTTTGTGTGACCAATCAAGGCTGGAACTAAAAGCTTCTCAAAACTGTTTCAGCCCAACCAGCAGCATTTGCCATCAATGGGGAAAATAGTGAAAGACTGAAACTGTTAATAATCTATCACAGCACCCACCGCTGTCTGGCAAATCTCCGTGTAGTTGCTCCTTGCCCTGTATCAGTCTGCAATGGCTGTCTCCTGGAAGACAGCATTGACTTGAAGGGCTCATGACTGGTCAAATCATCTGCTACTTGAGTATGACAGCTGTTTTACAAACACTGAGAAGCATATGTAAAACCTCAAGTAGCTCTGTTCTGCCCATGAATGAGCAGGTCTCATCTGAGACCTGCCGCTGCTTTTTAAAAGTCAGAGATTGCAATCCAATAGTCTGTGCTTGCACTTGGCTGGAATTAACCGATCATGAGAGGCATGTATGGCCAGGCTGCCTCCGACGCATTCTCTGGTCTGAGCGCCTTCACAAACAGTTTCAGATAGACTGTTTCTCTCAACAGGCTGGATGGGCCTCTTAGTGCTGCTTAGTGTCGCACTAATAGACCTTAGTGCAAATTGCTGCAATTGTGAATTTGGAGCAGGTACAACATTTTGGATGCATGCTTTTGGCAAGCATCGGTACAGAAACCTCAGGGTCAAGAGTCAGGTGCATCTTCTTAGGCTGATCCATACTGAAGGGTAAATGCCAAATCTGAAATGCCCTTTGGCAAGCCAAGGCATTATAGTCACTTTTCTAGCTTAAAAAGGCAAACATGATTAATTGTTCACATTTTTATTAGCTGCATTTACATTTTTAACACTTCATTGTCTTTGTAACGTTTTTGTTTATGGATCTGTCAGTACTGAAAAGGAAGAATTCAGTGAGGAAGGGAAAATTGAAGTAATACAGATAGGTAATCTTCGATTCTGCCGAATTTCTGTAGGAACAGGAAGATAAGATGCATGCAGCTTTTTCTGTGCATTACTTAGATATGTTTTTAGTACATGTTTCTGACAAACCTATGGATATTTACCAAAAAGGGAAAAAACCTTACCTTTGTTTAATGTTAAATTTAAAATTTAAAAGCTTAGTACTATTGTTTTTATCAAAAAAAAAAGAAAAAGAAAAAAAAGTGCTTGTTGTGGGCATAGAGACTGTTTAGAGAATAATTGTACCTCTGCTGAAAGTTGGGGTGTGAATTGGGGTTGTGAAATGTGCTGAAGGACATGACTATTTCTCTTCTGTTTCCTGTAGAATGAGAATTTGGGCTGGGTTTTGGGCAGTGCCAGTTGCAAACATAAAATAGGCTGTGACTAAGCAGGGAACTATAGAACAGGTAGATAAACCAGTCATCCAGATTAGAGCCCCAGTCTGTGCAAAGTGCTTCACCACTCTCCATGGAGGGAGCAGGTTCGTGTGTTAGTCCTGAGGGCGCTCCATACCGGGCCGAGGGCTCAGCACTGCAGAGTTGTACTGCATCTTTATTTTCTCCTGAAGATTTTTAGCTTAAATGCACCACAGGATTAAATCTCCTAGGTAATCAGACCTGCAGATTTTTACAGCTGAATGTCTAAATGTCAATCAAGGCTTCTGTAAAACTGAAATGTACTCAATATTATAAAAATAGACTCACAATGCCTTATGTTCTCCTTGGTCCAGCATTAGTTATTTGTAGATAAAGTCTATTTTCTTTTCAAAAAAAAAAGTATGTTTCCTCTTATACCGAAGTATGTTCTCTTTTATAGCAAAGTCCTGTAATCCATGCTCACAATATAAATATTAGATAATCTTGTCTAGATTACGCCTGTTATATTGTACTACATGCTGGGGTGCCTGCGAGTAATACAGATGGAGATAAGAGCAAACCTTCCTGTAAAGGTAGTTCCAAATTCACTTCCTGCATTGCCCTGTAGAATGGGCACATTAGCTCCTCAGCACATGGCAATAGCGCTGCTGAAAAAAGATAAGTAATTTTGCATATGTGGAGGGATTCATGAGACTGCATGCTTCATGCCACCTCTTATTGCCCATCTACTGCTCCTCCTCTGGTGTCATTTAGTGATTAATGGGAGCCTTAATTTGCATGCTCACTTTTACGCTCATTACAGCATGTTATGTGCCAGCAGGAGTCTTAAAGTTCACTGCAAATCTCATGCATACTAATTCAAATGCAAATGAATGCTGAGGCTCTCAAGGTATGAAACGTCCAGCCAGCGAGCAAAGTCCTCCCCACAAAAGCAGCACTACAAAGAGCACAGAATGCAGGAAGTGCCGTCCAGATAAAACTAGAAGCAGCAGAATAATTAGCTGCAAGTGGAGGCAATATCTTGGTTTCTCTGAGGCTTTTTGGGGAGAGCCAAGGAAGACTGTTTGGTTGCACTCAGTCCATCCACGCTGCTTCCTCTGCTTTACCAGGTTTAAAGCATCCTGCCTGGCAGTGTGAGAGTGCGGTGTCCATTGACAGTGTAGTGCTTGTGTGGAAGCCTTTTCTAGCTGTAACTGTCACTAGATGCTATTTAAATGAGTATGTGTGTGTTTCTATTGTTCAAATAATAAGTAATGAAGCACCTGCTTACCTGGTTTCCATCAGTAAATGTTTAATTGTAATATAAATCTTTTTAGTGATTTAAAACTGTGTTGACTAAAGGAATAAAGGAGATTGCAAAGAAAGGAGGAAGGGGTAAGACTTTTCCAAAATGAAATTGCATATATTACTTGATGTTTTAAAAGTGACATGAAGTAAGTCTTAAAAATTCAAGCACAAGAATGCTAGGTCCCATTTAATTTGTTGGATTTTGTTAAAACCAGTGTTAAATTAATGAGAAATCAGCTGGGTAAGCAATACACATGAAATCATACATTTAAATGTTTGTTACATCTGGAAAGAAAAATAGCATGGTGATTTACCATAGATGTATTTAAATAGGTACAGTGTAATAATGGAATGTTGATATGAGAAATCTTCCTAAACCGAGGATTGTGTTGCTGCTTGTGAATGTTGGTATTAATTGAGCTCTATTAATGGATGAAAATATGTTAGATAATACTCCTCACAGTAACACCCTTTACTGTTCTACTTGTGGCTTGTTGAACTGAGGCAGATAATAAAATGATAAAATCTTTGATTAGAAGAAATCTGAGTCATTTATCACATAACTGACTAGAAATCCTATCTGCCGCTGAGGAAGAAGAATCTGCTGTAAACTTTATATTTTCACAATGGTTTCTAGCTGCAATTAAATTTTGTAGGATTTCAATTTTTAATTTAAGAATGATTAATTGTTTAATTAAAATGCAACTGTGAAAATAACTGTCATTTTAGGAAAATGCTGGAAGTCCTTAGGTGCTTAGAGCTATGGAATTGAAACACTAGTGTTGTAATAAAAATCTTTATGTAATAGAGAAATGTAATCTGGAAAGGAGAGAGAAAATGATTCTCTGAAAATAATCCGTTAGATTTTGAGGACTTTAAGCTTTTTTCTCTCCTTTTTTTTTTTTCCTTCTCTATAGTAGAGTATAAATTCGTGTGTGGTAGAAGTGTGAACTTGTGCCTAATTTTTGTTAGACTCAAAAGACCTGGGAAAAACTGGTAGGGAGTGATGTTTGTAAGTATGCTGATGCCATGTAAGCACACAATTTCAAGAAAGGGTATTTTAGAATTTTTATTTATTTATTAATGGAAAATGTCTTCAAGAAGTGTCTGATGGACAAAAAAAAAAAACAAAACCAAGACCTTGTTTCATATTGTTGCACACATTTCACCACTAACCTTGAGTTACTTAACCTTGTAGTCCTGGCCAAACTCCAAGCTATATAACCCTATTTTGCCTACCTTGATCCCTTTCTCATGCTAATTAGAAGTTATCCCTCATAAAACCAGTTTCATAATGTTGCTAAAGCAGAATGATGCTTGTTTCACCCTCACATTTTCATTAGTGAGGTGAAATTATGACTCTGTATGTTAGAATTTTGTCTCTTTCCTCCTCCTACAATTCTTCTCAAAATATATAAATGGAACTAGACAATTAAAATCTGGAATAGTTCCTTCATAAAGCATTTCTGAAACTTTACAGAGAACTACAAAACAGACCAGGAATTTGACTGGGTGATAATGAAAATGTCATTTTTGCTCTAATCTTCCTGCTCAGTAACAAATGTCTTAATTATCCAAACATACAAAAGAACATTTTGTCATATATCTGTGCTTGGATCTGGCTTTCCTTATGTTTGTCCTTCTGTTCATTACTGGCCACTTGCATCCTGCTACTCATTCATTTGAAAAATATGAGCAGAAGAGACAAATGTCTACAAAATACGCAAATGGACATCTACCAATTCTGTGCATTGAGAAGTCATGAGAAAGTGTTACAGTAGTTGTACTTCTAAAGAATGATGAGTATTGACCTGTATGAGTATTCACTGGCAATCAGAGAATGTGTTTGTCTGATAACACCTGCAGTGGAGTTGGAGCTGTCTGTAATAATTCATTGACTGAATGAGCCAAGATATGACACTTCTCAGTCTGTGCTGGAGTCCCTTTGGGTTGCTGCAACCAATCATTTATGAAATAACAGGCTGTGTTTGAGGTTCAGGTGGGCAAAGATCTATTGGTTTTTGGTTCATAATTGAAATCCTGAACTTCAGGAAATCAGAGTTGATGCTACTTTAGCCGAAAAAACTCCGCAGTTGTCACATCCAGCATGAATTGGCTGGCAATGGAGCAGCTTTCCCTTCTCTCTGTGAGGACACCTCCCCATTGATACACTGGTACCACCTCCTCCAGATTTTGTCCTGCTTGTTGCAACCCTGAAGAGAAGATCTATCCAGAGCTAATGTAAGACTTAAGCTTTTATGCTGTAATGGCCAAAAGGCAGAGACAGGAGCCCTTCTCTGTAGAGCAATTTCACTCTCTTCCTGTCTTTCACTCTTCATGCTGTCATTTTTCTCTGGTGAAATTCAGCCTTGTACTACAAGCTCAGCAAAAGGCCTTGGCACCACTTGAGCCCTGCTTAAGCCTCATGTTGACCCTGTACAGGTGTGTGCAAGCTCTCCTAACAGAGGCGAATTCTTCCTCTATGAAGATTGAGAATATTGACAAAGGAAATAATTTCTTGGTCTTTATATTTGGGGAGTTAATATTATGCTTGCCAGGCGGTAGCACATTTTATGTAAATACTTACTTTCCATTACAGATTTATTACAATTTTGAATTATAATACTGTTTGTCATCTTTGAAATAATTCATCTGTTTTTTTTTTCTCATTTGCAGCTTGGATAAGAAAAAAAAGAAATGATCCACCCACCATTGAGGTGAGAGATGAAATGTCTTTACATTTTCAATTGTTGTAGTTAAATTATAGTAATTCATTTATAATGAACTTATTTGTCCAACAATTTTTCATTTTCATGAGGAAAATTTAGTATGTTGCTTGCCAAATTTGTGAAATTTTATACGAAAAGATAGAAGGTGGAAATCTAAAGTAAAGGGTTGTTTAATTGTTTCTTTTATGGAAATCTGTGTAAAGTTAGATTCTGGAAGATGACCATGGTCATCCGAGAGTTTAATTAAATCAATTCTGAAGTTACTGCTGTGAATTTTTAAAGCGTGTCCTCTCTGCATTGATCCATTCTGCTCTTGCTGGTTGACATTAAAATGCAGTTTTGCAAATGCAGCTGCCAGCATACCCATCAGCACAGCAAAACAAATTGCATTAACATTTTACAAAGCTAATGAGATGGGGGAGTTGTTGCCTTGACTTTTCCTGTAAGTGGTTTTTAGTGGAATAAAACAGTGGAAGTCTTTCATGCTGCTGACTTTGTGAAGAATGGAATGAATTTGACCGTTGATCTGCGTGTGTGTATATGTACACAGAGGTGTGCACTCTCCACACACCCACCTCCCTTGCCCCGTGTTTGTGTGACCAAGTAGAGGAAGTAGAGAAGGTTCAAGCTAGCATCCACAAGGGCAGGTATTTGGCTTGCATCAGCAGGAGGAACTGCATCAGATTGAGGAAGGCTGTGTTGGCAAGCTCTAGCCGAGGGCTTGGGCACTTAGATCTTCTGAAATGCACTGCCTGTGAAAAGCAGTCCAGCCTGCCTGTGGGTTTAGGTGCCCTGTTCAGGAAGTCTGTCAGCTTGTGTTCACAAGCCATAACTCACAGAAATGAGTTCACGTGCAACTTGCAGCTTTTCATCTGTTTTTGTCTGCCGGTGTTTCCCAATTTCCACTGAGATTATAGAGGTTATAACATACCTTAGAATGCAAGAAAACTCTGTTAAATTTATCCTATAAAGGATAATTAACATTAAGGAAAAATTAACATTAAAGGAAAAATTAACATTTTTTTTCTTTATTTTAACCTTAAAAGAAATACTAAACACTTTTTCCTTATCCTAGTTATATGGCCTGAATTGATTTTTCAGGAGATGTCTGTCTCAGCTTGGACGAATCTCATTTTAAGAATCTCTAGCCCATCCTTACTGTATACATATAGCTTCTATTGTTATATTCTTATGACACATGGAGGTAAGGGATGATTCCTGTCTATTGCCATGTTATTTCTGTGAACCAGGTGGCCGTGATAATTTTGAGCTAAGTAGAATCTGCCTCAGCTTGAGCAGTCACATTTTTGGAGCTGCTGCAATAAGATTTCTTACAGCGCTGGAGGTGTCAGATCCTTCTCAAAAGGAGGAGTAAGGTGTCTCTGTAGGTGAGAGACGTCTAGATCAGTAGTACTCTAAATATTTAAATTTTCAGAAAAAGCAATTTATGCAGAATAAAAAACTTATTGAAAGTAATGGTGCATTCAGAATTATAGGACTGCTTATACCTTCAGCTTCCTGAGGTAATGGATCCAAAAATTATTTAGCAGCTAGATACTTTGCCTGCAGGGCTGTGCATTGACCTTATCAGAGCAGAAGTGATATACTAGAAATCTGAAAAGTAGTTACCTTTTCTTTCAAGTAATCACTGAAGTTGTTCCTTTTTGCATATAAGAAAAAATAGTTTAAAATCTATGTATGTAAAAAAGTGAATATTTTAGCAATAACACAACAAACATCTTGGGTATTTAATGGTGTATTTACAATTATCTTATTCTGTATTAGCATGGGAATGATCTACCATTTGTTCCAATATAAAATCCTTGTGCCACAGTAGACCGTTCTTACAGACGTAATTATACTAGTGAAGTAGAGGTTGAATACTGTTTGGTCCCTTTATGTTGTACAGATTATGTTTTGGCTACATACACTTTACTAGCTGATACTCTCTATTATATTTCCTTTTTAACAGTAATGCTGATATGGTAAACTACTGTTTGACAGCTATGGAATGAGGGAGTATTTGTGACCATATTTCATGTTGAAACCCTGTAAGGCAAATTTCCTTTTTCTTTTGCATATTTCTCATCAGGCTAAAACAATTTCTGAAAGAAGGATGTAAAACCCACACGTTTTGAGCCTTAACGACATTTTACTGTCTACATCACATTGTAATGCCACAAAAGAACACTACAGTTCCTAAAGCATTAATTTATTTCCTCTCTCTGTGATCTGCTGGATCACTTTTTCCCCTTGCCCCATCCCCACCAATCCTGTGTCCCTTGCCTGTCATTTTTTTCCCTTTCTTTTTATTATCATATCTACCTTATCATATCTACAATTAAACTTTGTTTAATTTTCAGTTTCCCCATTCTGTTTCGTTTGCTTACCCATCCCACTTTAGTGTATCATGTTTGTATTTTATAGTTTTCAGACTTTCTTTCTGTTCAACTTCAGTTATTGGATAATAGTGGTTGCCAAAGTGCTTGGACTGTCCGCTAAATGAAATCTGTGGTCAAACTTGGAGTTGAAAATCTTGCTGGTAGGATAAATGACTGCGTTTTGGGAACCGGGGATTTGATGCATAGTGCAGGCCAACAAAGTATTATATCAGAGTCACCATTACACATCAGTCACTTACGTCTTCTGGCACTGACCTGTACACCTTAGAATATTTTGTACTTGGGCTTTTTTTTTCCCCCTAGAAATACCTGCTGATCTCTTCCTTCATAGTTTTATTTTTCTGTTTTTATATAAAATAAAGGTTTTTTTATATAAAAGGCATTGATTGAAATCTCTATTGTCCTCAGATTCCTTATGGTAGAAATGCAGCACTGAGTTCACCAGATAAAACACTGAGTTTACCAGCGCTGAGTTCACCTTGCCTTTTCTGCCTTCTTTCTCTCCGTTTTAGGAGAGCAGGCACCTAGACCAGTACCTTTGTGTGCTGGCCCAGCCATAAACTGAAAATGTTGCTCATCACATGGGTTATTTCTAATCTGACCAGTCATGTGAAGCATGTTAGTGTCTGGAAGTCTTAGACTTTAAAAGCTAGCTTTTGGGGTACTGAAACAGTTGGCTGCCTTTTGATTTTATTACAACTTGAAATATGCCAAGTCTTGTTCTCAACTTGGTTTTGATGGTGGTGATAACTCTGCAAATGAATGCAGATCAAGTTGTTTGAACATATTCAGTTCCCATGGTAATAAGAGAGCCCTTTCGATAGAGAATTTTGGCTCATATCCCCACCTGGTGTAAGCATGCATGCGTGCCTACATCTGTATATAGGCGTGTGTGTGTGTATCTATTTTGATACACAAATACTGGTTTATAGTAGGTAAGACTCTGTGCTTGTATATGTATGTTTGCATTGCTATGTTATTCTATGTTACATATATATTCTATATATACACATATTATGTGTGGCAATATATGGTCTGAGGAGAATTTGTCATTACATTTGTAGCTGTAAACTATAGTTGAATCAATTTAACAATCATCATTAAATATAACAATATTTCTTTTATATTAAATAAATAGAAAATTAGATACACGTAGCATTTGAGGCCAAATAGGAAATAGATTTTTGTCCTTATTGTTTTAAAGTAAAGAAAATATTTTAGAGATTACAGATATTAAAATGATTTTCAATCAGTGGCTATTTTGTGGGAGTAGGTTTGTTAATTTGCATGTGATGTGCTATGTTAGTTTACCTGCTAAGCATTCATGTTGTCAGAATTTTTTAACACAAGTTGCACTGGGATATAGCAGTTGTCCTATACAAATATTTTATGCAAATGCATGCAAAATATATTTTAAATATCTTTAATATTTTAAAACACTTTTTTTATTCCTGCATGCTGTCTCACATACAATTCTATCTTGCTATTTTTCCTTCTGGCTCTATATTTTACTCCTAATTTTGAATCATTTATAATTGTATGAATTGACTGTTATATTTCTCCTGTTTCAGTTGCAAAAGAGTGAAAAAATATTTGGGGATGGGGAAATCTATCTCCTGAGGTTCCCCTTTGGGGATCATGCTGCCCTTCCATTACTGAACAGAAACCTCCCCAGATTTAAAAAATGTTTAACACCATTGTACCTGCAGATGCAATGTGGTATGTCTGGTATGTCTTTTTTACTGCTTTCAGTAAAATAGCCTCATGAATTCCAAAGACAGTTCTCTTGATAAGAACTTTCCAAGATTTCTAAGAACTTTGGTGACCACTCAACTTTATATGGTATCCACATGCCCTCATTGCATATCCACATTGCTGTATTCTATATCTTCTATATTGACTCTGAGTTTTATTCCTTTTCTTAAAAAAAAAAATAAGTAAAATGAAGTTTGAGATAGCATTATATAATTATATTAAAAATTAGGGAAATGTTTATTTTCTGCTATCCTGCAAAAACAGTTGTAAGATGTCTCTCATCTCTATATGATCACTGTGCAACATGTAGCCATTTTTTCCCCCACCTTTATAGTAGGAGTTTATAATGAAAATTGACTGAGATAATTTGTATCTAAGAAGTACTGAGTCCTTAATTGCTAAACCTGTTTAAGAATTAGGTGACCTATTTCTGAGTCTGTAGCAAACCTTAAAAATTATCGGGCATCTAAAAAAAATCTGTACAAAACCTGCATTTGATTTCTGTAACACTACTGATTTAAGGGTAACATTTGTTGGAGCCTTTAGAGAATTCTCTTCTCTGTAATGTGAAGTATCTGGGTAGATTGTGGTAGGTGTTTTGTTTCTTTTTGCTTTTCTGTTTTGCTTTGAGGTTTCTTTTTCCGTAACAGACCTTGTAGCTACACACTAATTCTGACAATGTCCTGCAGTTGTAAGAATAATAAGAATATTTGGGTAACTTGGCATGTACATGTCCTTGTCTGTAACATGGACTGAAATAATGTTACAGGCTGTCTTGGGGTGCTGCAGAGCATGCAAGGGAAAAACAAGGTTCTCATGGCAAAGACTACA